TCACCGGGTGATGGGTGCGTGCCCAGACATTGCCAGTTTCCAACATAATTGTGCCTATTACATTCCCACCAGCTGCTGCATAGTTCAGGCAGCCCTTGAACTCACTATGCAACCCAAGCTGGTCTCAAACTCATGGCAATCTTCCTGCCTCAGCCACCTGAGTGCTAGGAGTACAGGCATGTGCCATCACACCCAGTTTTGTTTGTTTGCGTTTCTTTAAACTTTTTTTTTTCCAGTACAAGGGATCAAACTCATGACCATGCACTTTTGAGACAGGTGAGGTGCCACTGAGCTAAATCCTCAGACACCCCCCCCTTTCTACTTTTTTGAGACAGGGTCTCACTGTGTAGTCCAGGCTGGTCTTGAACGCACTATGTGGCCCAAATTGGCCTTGAACTCACGGTAATCCTCCTGCCTCAGCCTCCCAAGTGCTGGGATTACAGGCGTGCACCACCATGCCCAGTCTGTTATGTTCTTAAGGAGCAATTCATACATTGTATTTACACTTCGTCAATTATGTGACTGGAAGCCATCTTTTTGGACAGACATGTCTTTTTGTTGGTCTTGGCAGATGGGCCTTACAAATCCATAGTGCTCCAGGTTTGATGGGGAGAGCAAGCAAAGATTTCCCAAGACTCTAGGAGATGCAGATTTAACTTTGAGGGAGACCTATAGCCTGTGCAAGGGTTTCTTGCACAGGCCATACCTGAGGGCCACATAGGACGTGACTCATCTCCTAAGATGCCTATGTGAACGTGCAACCTCCACGGACATTTCAATCTCCTGACTTCTCTAAGCACAGAAGTTAGACTCCAGCCTGAGGAAAACAAGAGATGTGCAGAAAGCCTATGTGAGCTGAAATTACCAAGAAAATGGGGTTGGATGGAAGGAGATCCTGAAAAAATTGAGATTTCATTTTGTAGAAGGAAAATACAACATGTTCATTATTTTCCTGAAATTTAAAAAAAATCATCTTTGGCCCTATCCTTTGTACTTTGCAATAAACACTTAACTCTATGGTGAGCCATCATGGTAAGCCTTGACATAGGCCTAGCCATGGTTGAACTATGAGTCACCCCGCCGGCACGGATGTGCTGTAGCCCATGACAATGGGCTGGTTCAACTGGTGGTCTGACCTGTTGCCTAACATGTAGCCTAAATGTAGCCCATAATACTTGTAGAACCTTGTGACCTTTCCAGTCTGCTACACCCTGTTTGTACTTTTGGTTTCGGTTTTAGCCTATATATACCCCACCCTGAAAAATAAACGGGGCCTTGCTGCGGTAGAGCATGAGCCTGGAACTAAGTTCGTGAAACTGCTCTCCTGTTGTTCTTCCCTCGGGTTTGGGACCTGCTGGCAGGATTCTGACGTTGCGGCTCGCGACATAACTCCATAAGTATAATTATGTTTTTTTTATAATGACCCCCTGATAAAACTTCAGAGCCTAGCCTTAATAATGGTTGTTTTAATAATTAACTAAAAGTATCTAAAATTCCTTTGGCTATGGAGGGAGAGATTCCATTCTCCATCATAAAGGTAGGACTCACCATCTGATTTTTTTTTTTTTTTGAGACAAGGTCTCCCTAATATAGTTCATTGGTTTTGGTGCCTGCCTCGCAAGGGCAAGAACCCGAGTTTGATCCCGGGCACAAAAAAAAGACACTCGCTATATTTATTGACAATTTTTTATCTGCTGGAAGCACACAGACCAAGTATTAATTGGAGCAAAGTCGTGCACCTCTCTGTGAGGAGCCATACGCATCTGTTTTGCATTGCTGAGTATTAAGCCCCGGACTTTGCACATACCAAGCAAGTGCTATAGCACGGATCAAGTCAATATTTTTTTGAGACAGGGTCTCTATGTCACTCAGGAGTCATTCCTCTTGGGCCTGCTGGCTTCCCAGATGTAGCCTAGGGCCTGTCATGCTGCTGCCGCTGTTCCTAACAGCCCCCTCTCTTCGCTGGCCCTCACTGGCATGTCTAGAGCCTCTTTGAAATTATTTTAATAAAGGGGCTCAGAAATTGTTGCTATGGTCCATGGAGTCCTTCGAACGCCACCTGTAATCACGGCTTTCGATTGTATGTTAAAAGGGGCATCTTTGAAATTCTGAGCACTATATATAAGGATTTTTTGGAGGATCAAACCCAGGGTCTGGAGCACACTAAGAATGCTGGCAGTGTAGCTATGAAGTTAGCTATGTGCCAGCCTAAAAATTTAAACCCGTTTTGCCACTCCCAGGCAGCATAGCCACAGGCAAGTTAAACTCTAGTTTGATTCGCTCACTTCTCTTACCTTGTCAGCATCTCCCTGCTCGTTTTTATTTTCCCACTCTCAATGTGTCTCAATTTCATTATTTTTTTTCATTTTCTTGTACTATTTTTGTCCTGTATTTTTATTTTGTTTTTGTTACCAGAGATTGAACTCAGGACCTTGTGCTTGAGAGACAAGTGTGGTGCCACTGAGCTAAATCCCTGGCCCACTCTGTTTCGGTGGCTTCATAAACTTGTTTTTGAGATCAGGCCTCACTGATGTCAAATTCCTAAACTCAGCGGGGCATGATGGTGCACACCTGTAATCCCAGCACTCAGGAGGCTGAGGCAGGAGGATCTCTGTGAGTTCAAGACCAGCCTGGGCTACATAGTGAGTTCCAGGTCAGTCTCAACTACATAGTGAG